TCCCTAGTTCATTGGTTCATCTGTAATTGAGTTTATCTGGTTGTGGACCTTGCTTGCAAGTTACAATTGCCTGATTTCAATGCTTCTGGTTTCCTTCTGGTTTTAATCAATGCAAAGTCACAACTCCTGACTTCTGCTTTCCATTCTTCTCTCTGCTCTGTGCAGCAAGGGTGAAGAAACTGTTCCTTGCTGAAACCTGAGCAGACTTTTCATGCACCTTACAGTTAGCTAATAATAATTTAGAAAAAAAAGTTTATATTAGTGTGCTACATCTTGAATTACACTGCATTTACATCCAGCCTTTCTGCATTAGATTTCCCCACCCTTGCTTTAACCAATGTCACTAGTCAGTAACATTGTGGTATCCAGCCTGACTTCACCTGAGGGTGTGAGTTAATGAGTTCAGGTGAGGGGTCATAATGCCTAATTAACCTGATGGGCTTAAAAGGGATAGAAGGCTTTGTGAAGTAGCCTGAATGTTGTTGGGTATATGAGTGCTACTTTGTACCTTAGCCTTTTGTTTGTTGGGGTTGTGCTTGGGTTTTTTGCACGTGGCTGGGATAGGGAATGTGGATGTGACCGCTCCTATTGCTGGAGGGTGTTTGTTTGTGCTATGAAGAGTTAATAACAGTCCTTTTTTTCTAGGAGGAAGAATCTCACAATGCACCAACAGCCAACACCCTTCATGACACTAGCCATCTAGAATCAGACATCTGGTCTGCAATGCCAACACTTTCCAATGGGAATTCTGAGCCCAGAAGACCCAAAATTACATTTGATGATGTGTAAGTATTATTTGATCTCAGTGTGAGCTGCATGTTATGTAGTTGGGATTTTCAGGCAAGCAGAGCTCCTGGAGAAAGAGTCTGTCTGCTTACAGTGCTGGTGCTGGGCACCTGTGTGCTTAGTGCTGCACAGAGGCACACACAGTTTTAATCTTTACAAATGAACTGTTGTCACTGATTAATGAAGACTCTGTTGATAAATTGTGAATGTTAGTTCACAGTAATTCTTCTTCATTTTTTTTTATTTTAGCTCCTCTAATGGAAACTTCTTATACTTAATTAGTTTAAAATATTTTTCCTTTTCCTGTGTTCAGCACACATTAATGGGTCCTTTGGGTGGCCAGTTCCTATAGCTAGTTACTTTACATTCTGGTCACCCATTGTATCTTTGCATACAGCAGCTTCAGATTAATATCAGGTTAAGGTTTATAGAGATAAGTGGGTGTATATGTCAAAATTGTTCTTGGAAGCAGTCAGCAATTTTCTCAAACATTGTTTTTCCAAATGTATGGAAGCGAAGAGTTGAATTAATTCATTTTATCTCTTTAGGCTTCACAATGCAGATTATTACATGCAAGAGGCTAAGAAGCTAAAGCATAAAGCAGATGCATTGGTATGTTATCACAGTTTGGGGGTTTTTTTGTCTGTTTCCACTATGGAGCTGGGTGTTACAAAAATTCTCAATGTCATCTAAAGTCTCAGAAAGCAAAAGGAACTCTGCTATTGACTAAGGTATGCTTCAGATTGTGGGCCATAAACACAGCATCCACAGGTCAAGCCCTGAGCACCATTCCTAGACTTTAACAAGTCATTCCCCCCCCCCCAAAAAAAGAAGCTCCTAACAATAGCTGGTATCTCATCTGAGGAGGAACAACAACCATGCTGTTTATGGAGGATGTAAGATAGCTGCATGAAAGATGATGTGCTTTTGAAATTTTTTTCCAATTCATTTTGAGCCTAAAACAAAAGTGTTGAAATACTCCGTAACAGAAAGTTAAGAAAAGCAAATCACCCTTCACCCCATGATCATGTGGTGAAACTGTTTAATGATTTTCCATCCAATTGTTAAAAATTTGCAACAATTGATTTTTAAATAGTATATTCATTTTTATTGCATGCTTTGAGGCTGATAAATAAAGACTCAAAACACTGCTTCCCCCCTAAACACTTCTGATGAGGTCGTTCAATGCTGGGAAAGCTTTTTCTCTCATTTTACCCCAGCTACAATTCCAGTAAGATTGACCTAATTTTGCAAAGTGTTTTGATTCTGTTAAACCTACTTAAGCTGACAGATTATATTCTATCGTAGTTTGTTCAATCTAAGCTATTGCTAGCACTGAGGCACCTTTAATAGCTGTTTGCTCCCTAGGCAGGGACTGTACATAGAGTACAGAACAGCAGCTCATTGAGGCAGGGTTAGTGGGACTTGGCTCCTCTATTTATTTAAGCTGTCTAAAATGGTGTGTGGCTGTTCACTTTGCCCCTCAAATTCACATTTGAAAAAGAACTGAGTGTTTATTCACCTTTCATTTTGTTATTTATGGGGTTTTATTCATACATCTTGTATCACTCCACATCAGAGATTTTGTGCTTGAAAGTAAGTGTCAAAAAAAAAAAAAAGCCCAAAATATTTGCATGCGATGTTTTTTAAAAAATATATAAAAAATTGGTTTTCCCTGTGCTGTCAGTAAGCTGAAGGAAATGTGACATGTCAAGCTGCCTACTTTATCTCCTCACGCTCCCTTTAGACTTGGGGCACAGTGTTACCGGGTGTGTTTTCTGTGAAAAGTGGGTGCAGGCTTTTGGCAACCTGCCATGGGTGCCAGTAAGGCAGTAGCTGTCCCTCCTGACCTTCCCAGGAGGTGACCTGCACTGCTTCCTGCAGCCCAGCTCAGCAGAGCACGGAGCCCTGGCGTCTGCTGGTGGGAAGGGCTGGCAGCAGCAGACTGACACCACCTCCCACAGCCAATTGACCTTTAAAGAAAATACATGTGGTTCTGGCATGGGGATGCCGGCTCCACACTGGCAAATATTTCAGGCTCCTGATGATCTCAATGTGCTATGTCAGTCCACTTTCCTCCACAGTCTGATTCACTCAGGAAGTGTTGACCTGTCTCCTGTCCTCTTACCTTTGACTGTGCCCTGCAGAATCAGGAGTGTTTCTCAAGCAGAACTAAGAGGAACAGGCACAGCACATCATGCTGCTGCCTGCAGGCAGGCCTTGCCTGTCACATGCAGTTTGACACCCTGAGTGCTCTTGTGGGAATGTGAGGCCATCCAGTATGACACAACTTGTTGGCAGACATAAATAACCGTGAACAAAGTATCTGCTTTTTCTTTCTGCTATTAGGTCTCAACTTTTTTTTTCCCACCCAATACAGCTGCACACAAATTATCTCCATGTTACACATTTGCTGTGCTATCCCATAGTATTAGTTGTCCTGTGGAAACAATTGCTTCTGGTTCCTCAGTGCTGACATGACAAAGCACGCACAGCACTGAAAGATGTGTTGCAGTTGCTAGAAAGATAATGCATATGACCTCAAAATGTGTCAGCAAATGTTAATGAGATTTGTGGTAATGCTGTTTGTGAGCTTGTACGGAAAATCGATTTCTGGTGAAGGGCAGGGTGGTTTGCATCTTATGGGAGCAAGCCCGGGAAAAACCATCCTGGGACAGCAGTAAGGAATCTGCTCATCTGGATGAGCTGCTGCAGGGGAAGCATATGGAAGAGATCTTGGAGACCCTGCTGTACTCATGGCTGAGCTGGAGTAATTCCACCAGTCAGCGTGGAGCAAAGGGCAGGATTCAATCCCGTTTCTGGCTCAAACTGTGTGCCTGCACTAAACCTGCTTGCAGCTTTATCCTTTTTTTTAATACCACAAAAAGTTATCTTTGAAAGAGTTGAAGCAAGGAGTTTGAAGAATATGCTGAGAAGTGGCCACTGGAATAGAGAGAAAACATTTGAAAATACTTCCCCTATTGTGATCATTCAGGTCATACCTATTGATTATACAAAGGCTTTGTATGTAATCAATGCACAGGTACAGAACTTGAAATTAAGGGCATGTAGAGGGAACTAGTTATAAGGATTGCTTAGATGTAGCAACAAAGGCAAATATACAATTACCTTGACCCAATACTAAATGTTCTGCTTAGCATGTTGCTAGGGTAGGCTTCCAGTTTGTGAATGGCAAACATATGCAGATGCATCAAAAATATTTTGATAGAGACATGCAGAGAAATTTTTCAAAAATACTTTGATAGAGACATGCATTTTTTTTTAAATTATTTCAAGTACATTAGATCTTATATCAAATGCCACATTAGTAGAATTCTTAGATCTAGCTATCAAAAATTGAAAATGTTAAATACTGTTATAAAATACTTACTATAAAAGTGTCATATATAATATTCATTACACATAAAATAAGAAATCAGTATGTCTAAGTCAGTTTAATCACAACCATTAAGAGAGCTAAAACCTTTTGCAATAAAATCCTGGTAAAATAAAATATTTAGCAGTGCTATATTTTCTCCTTTTTTTTCCTGCTCTTTCAGTCATCACCTAAATGATGAGATTTTTTTTTTTGGGCAACAGTTAACACAGAATGTGACATCTGACAAATGTCCTGGAGTTGTTACTTAACCCTTGCATAGTGACATTCAAATTCAGTTCATATATTGAGGAACAATATGGATTTGTTCAAAAGAGCTCAGTGTCCCTCATTGCCTGGGTAAATCCATAAATCTGGTATCTAAAAATGGATGTATAGTGACTTTGCTTTATAGAGCATCTGGCCCGATACTACCTGAAGAGATTTGGTAAAAACCTAGAACCTGCCTTAATGACTGTATGAATTAATTCTTAACTATCAGCATCACTTTGCTTTCATCCTAATGCTCGTGTTGCTTTGTATGATGATCTGTCTACCTAGAAATTAGAGCTGAAGGATTTTCTTGACAGTGTCATTCCTCTTTCAGCTGGAGAAGTTTGGCAAAGCAGTGAATTATGCTGATGCTGCCCTTTCCTTCATCGAGTGTGGGAATGCTATGGAGCGAGATCCATTAGAAGCTAAATCTCCATACACCATGTACTCAGAGACTGTGGAACTCATCAGGTTAATGTCCTTTCTGTGATCATTTTCATAATCTCATTTCAGTCATAATTAGAACCTGCTATGTTTTAAAAAATACCATTTCAACGTATTAATGATTTGTCCAAGGCATCTTCATCTCAGAAGTCATCATAATTAGTTCTTGCCATTTTATTAATGTCATGGAAAATTTATAATTGATGGACACTGCTTTTATAAATTATCCCCTTTAGAGGTTATAATGCGAGGTTATAATTTGCAATATTCATAAAATTAAAATTGAAATGTAGTGGGTGGAAGTAAAGTATAGTAATTTCACTGTTTGGCAATGACACTTGTCTTTTAAAAGGTGTAGTTTTATAATTCAAAACATTAAAGTGAGTCTATCAGGATTTCTATTACAAACCTTGTTTTTAGAGGTTTATAACTTGGCTGTTGAAAAAAAAAAAAGTGAAACTTGGCACAGATCATAGCCAGAGAGGAAGCTTTCCATGTATATTGCATTAAAAAAGTATAATTTTTATTATTAAAGAAATGTGAACCAGCTGAATTAGGTTTAATACAGTGTTGTAGACTTGTAGGCTACAATATGGATGAGAGCACCTTTACTTACTAATAAAATGTCTGAATTATTATTTTAAAATCCACTACTGTTCCCTATAACTGTTCCATAGTGTTGGCTCTGTAGCAATAATGGTCTCCTGAGAAACTCAGGGCTTGTTTGCTTTACTTGTACAAATTATCAAAGTGAAATCAAGCAGGATTAAATCTTACCTGTAAGTAGAACAGGATTTCTCCTCTTCACTGTGATGCAGCTTTGCTTTCCCCAGTGTATGCTGGGAATAACACCATTAATGTCAGTGTAATTACTGGAAGTTTACACAAGAGAAAGAAAAGGAGGCAAATCACACCCTAAATGTTTGGTTTTCAATATGATAAAGGTAGGGGTTTTTTGTAATGTGCAGGATTTTAACATGCCAGATTGGGTATTTGGGACTGCCAAAAATAATGCATGTTTTACATTTTTAATAAGTAGGTATTTACATAATAAAACATATCAAATCTTTAGAAGCTCTTAGTCTCAGGTAAATTGTATGCCTGTTAAATATTTAAAAACATGGGTTTACATTCTACACTTCATAAAAAAGAAAATCTAAAGTGATTAGTCAACAAGAAAGTTACGTTCATTCAACACTTAAAATCCAAGTGAAACCTTCGAGAGCAGAGGGCTTGAGCAAAGGAGGTGATTACCTCTGCCCCATGGTGCTGAACCTCTTCCTGCACTGACTGTGGCCTGTTCAGTACTTTGTGTCCTGTGATACACATTTATAGTTGTAGGGCAGGATACATTGTAGCTAAGGAAATATTCTTATATTATGAAATGAGATGCTCCTTCTTTAAAGGAGCCCACATTTATTTTTATTTCTCAAGAAAAGCATATGGACAGTTGAAATGCTTGTTCCTCAGTCCCTTTTCGTTGCTGTCAGTGGTCAGGCATGGAAGAAAGGGAATTGCCCAGGTGAGCAGCAGGCTGGTACAGGTTAAGTAACATCCATGCACAAATAGACAATTCTTGTGGGCTACACAGGGTGCTGAATGTACAAACCAGCTCTGCAGCTAATTGCACACACTTTCTCAGTGTGGCTCCTAATGTTAACAAATATTTTTATTGTCAGGTAAGAAATAGGAGGAGATTTTTCTCACTTCTCCCTTCATCAGAGGCATCATTTTCCCCTTCTGCATTAGCTGTGTCTGCCCTGAGTATCTGCATCAGACACCTATTTGTGAGAGCAAGTGGAGTATCAAAGACACGGGGAATATCAGATCTGACTGTCAAAGATGTTTTCTGTTGATAGTAATGCTAAAATCCCTAATGTAACACTGAAAATCCCAAAGAGCCATGATCCTGGTTTTGATCAGATTTATTCAGTGGGACTGGAACAACAATACCAAAGAGTAGGCGAGGCAGGACATGGAGGAAGCACATCAGGAGTGTGCTCCAGCTAAGGGCTGGGGATGGGGCTGGTGGGAGGGAGGAAGGCAGAGGGAGAGCAGCACTGCCTGCCTGCACTCCATTACCTCCTTGTAAATGAGAACTCATCAAGACTGCCTGGATACCTTAAAACTTTCTTATGCAACGCTGAACCCTATTACTTATTCTAACACAAGTACCTGTGAAATTGCATTAGGGCTCAGAACAATGATTTTATGCAATGAATTGATTTTCAAGAGACTAAATGCATGGAATGGAGTGTGCTCAGTTAAAGGAAAAAAAAAAAAGAAAAAAGAGGAGATAGAAATACTCAATCTTTGACCATCCAAATGCTGGACAGCAGCAATTAAATGGAGTAGGGAGGCCAGCTACACAAGGCTCATAAATTAATGGACCCAAGAATTAAAAAAGCTATGAACATGACCTTTATTTTATTTCAAAGAATTTTCTACATACAATATTTTAAAGCTTTGAAGAAGCATTTATGAGGATTTTGAAGGTATTATTTAAGCCCAAGGTATTATATGCAAAACCTTATTATATATTACTGTACTTTTCAGTACATACAGGGCCAAGAGCTTATGTTTCTGGCCAACACTCATCACAAATATTTGCAGGACTCATCCTAGATGGCTGGATATAATATCATGAATATGCCCAAGAATAGTTCACCTCATTGGCTCAGAAAATGGGTTGGTGATTTACTTCAGCCCTCCAGATTTTAAGTGGTGCTTTCTGTTGAATTTTACATTGATCTCTTCATTACAGAACAATGTGAATATTAACTGTTGCTGTCAGAGAAGAATATTTATGTATGGCTGTTATTTTGCAGTGTCACTAGTATTCCAGGAAACATCTTAACTCTCAATTTCTTCTCACCTTTCTGACAAGGTATGCAATGAGACTCAAGAATTTCACAGGCTCTTCTGCCACAGAAGGGGACAAGAAATTAGCAGTTTTATGGTAAGTCCCATTGCGACAATGAGAGAAGCAGCTAAAATCTTAAGGAGGACTTTAAAAGTACTGAATTACTTAAGCAGCTTACAGAAGATCATTATTCTTGTTTTCCATTAAACTATTAAAGGATAACTAATGGATTTCTTCAGCAGCTGACTAAACATTTATTCTTCTAATTTATACTGTTATCAAGATGGGATTTTAATGCTTTTGACCATTTTTTTTTATTTCTCCATTTGCTTATGTTTCAAAATCTAACCTTAGAAGAGAAACTACAAAATATAGGTTAGCATTTGGGGTTTTTTACAGTTTATAGGTTTCATTAAGCAATGGCATTAACATAATCCTTTCCTAATTACCACAGCTACCGATGCCTATCACTTCTCTACTTGAGAATGTTTAAACTAAAGAAGGACCATGCTATGAAGTACTCCAGATCTCTGATGGAATATTTTAAGGTAATTTTTATTCTGTTTAATTTACAGATATGTAATGAATTCCATACCAGCACTGAGACTTCTCACAAGTATAACTGCATGACTTAAAATTCCCACATTTAACCTCTCCTCTGGGAAGTGCAGGCAGGGTGGCTTCCAGGGAGTGAGGACAGAAGTGATTTGGGGGATTTTTGGATTAGTCACTTGAATCAAAGGAACATACTCAATAAGTCTACTAAAATAACATTATTCTCAACACCGTGTAATGTTTATGCAAGTTTCTGAAAAGGAAACTGATTCTTTCAAGATTTCAATGTGCAAGTGATTATGAACTGACCCCCAATGAACCATAATAAAGCAATTCTTTAGGCTTTAGCTAGTTAAATTTAGATTTTAAATTCAGTGAGATTTGCTGAAGCTTATTGGAGACCTGGAAATTTCTCTTTTTATTTCTGTGGAACTTCAAATTGCCTTACCTACATCTTGAAAGTTTGCCTTTACCTTGGATCAAGTGGAGAGCAGCTGATTGTCATGACTTGGTGATGTTTACCTTGTCAAATGCTGTTTACCCAGGGTAAGAATGACAAGTACTCACCATTCCTCAATTAAGACAGAAACAATCTTTCTTCAGCTCTGCCAAGGTTTTGAGATTTATGGTTTACTGGTTAATGCTTTTTGAAGCATACATTAATTCTTGTACTTTATTACTATATATTATTCTATAATTATGTAATTATACTGGTGTGTCAGCCCATCAGTCTTTTTTGGTTGTTTTGGGTTTTTTTCAGCCTCTGTAAATTTGTTCCAGGCTTTGACATACTAGTACTGCAAACCAATGCAACTTTTAACGCTGCAGTTTTCATATTTTTATGTAAATGGTGATTAAATGGTCCTTCCTCCATAAAACTCCAGTACTATTATGGTAGCAACCACCACTTGGTCCTGACTTCCCTGAGGTCCTCTGTGTGTGTGTCTCTCTGTAACTTCAATAATGTTACCCATGATCCTCTGCTTAAATTGAGGCTCTTGAAGTCATTAGAAGTGTCTCTGTTGTACTCAGAGAGATTTCAGTCAGAGGTTGGCACAAGACATTAAATTAGAACTGGACACATTGATAACCTCAGCATTTTCATTAAATGTATTCCATCCATTTCAGATTTCATCCAGGGTGAATGTAAATTGTCTCTTAAAAAAAAAGGTTATTAGACAAATAATTTTATAAACTTCTCCTGCAGAAAGTAATGATTTCTTAAAAAAAAATAGAAGGGAATGGGGGGATTCTCTCTTCCCTCAAAGCCACTTTACTTTCTCTAGCTGTGCAAATAGGTATAATGAGGAACATATTACTGCTCCCAGTATAAGACCATTTTACTGCATCCACGGAGTGAAAATGTCTTTTAATGTAAATGAAAAGAAGAAAAAAATGTAAAACATAATACAATAGACCAATCAGGAATTTAGGCATCCAGATGAAACTTGAGTATTCCAGCTAGTGTTTCTGTGTGTATGCTATGGGCACTGTAACTCAGGGCTGGAAGCAGTGTTGGAGTGTACACAGATTATATGGTCAGGATCTTTTTGTAGTAAAGGCATAGGAGAGGAGAAGAATGGGAGCTGTTACCTATGAATTAGTTTTGTATTGCTGCACAGTGTTCTCTGTTCACTAGCAAGAATCCGTAATACAAATGGAATAGATTAACTCTTTGATTAGAGTTGTGTTCAGAATTTTGCACAATTTTAACTGTGAAAACCAGCCCCCTGTTTACAGCAGAGCTGGAGAGGAATTTTTCGGCTGAATTGTTTTTCTTATTTTTCCTCATGAATGCCACTTTGTCCAAATTGAAACCATTTGTGTACAGAACTGGTTCTGATTAATTTCCAATTCGAAGTTTAAAATTTTTTTTGACATTTCAAAACAGAAAATAACCAATTAATCACAAAAGTAGTTTTGAGATTTTGAGACAACTGGAGTAAAATATAACTAAAATTAAAAATTTTAAAATTTAAGATAGAAATCAAGCTTTTTAAGATGAGCTAAAGTGGCATCCGTTGATGTATTTAATCTAAAAGTTTGAGGACAATTTTTATATTTTGAAAATGTGTTGTCAATAGTCACTGGCAAAAATATTTCAAATATTTTCATTGTCAAATAACTACCTCCAAACAAGATGTAGTCTTAATCTTAATGATCTAGTATTTGTCTCCAGATACTGTCAGGAACAATCCCCATGCAGTAGAAACTAACATCAAAGCTGTGTCTTCATCCTTGAAGACTTCCCAGAGGAGTTTAGGATCTTACATATGAGGGGGTGGCAAATACAGACACTACACATACTCTGTCCTGCAGAACAGTCAATTTCATGCTCACAGCTTTCATGAACCACAGTGACACACTGTGTAGGAACATGCAAGGCCAGTATGGTGGTTTGGGAAGCGTTACTGCTTTGGCAAGTTTAGCTGCGTTTTAAAAGGCAAGAGTGGGATTTTGCTCCCAGAGTCAGACTTTGGGCCATGCCCTGAGCTGCTCTGTGCTCCGCTCAGTCTTTGTGCCTCACATGCAAAATAGCAATTGCAGTAACCGGAAGAATCTTGTAATAATGTCAGTAATACTTTGCAGAGAACTTGTAAAATTTGATTGAATTTTCACTGTGGTTGCTGACTTCTTTGCAAGGGAGCTCAGGGTGATTGTTTTCAGAAAACACACAAAGATAGCTTCAGCACTGATACTACTGCTTTTTATGGGAACTAAGATACCACCCAGCCTGACCAAGACTGGAAAAATCTGAGCTTTATTGTTGCTGGGCAATCTTTTTGTACAGGGTTGTACAAGGTGCTACACAGACGTGAAAGGCAGAATGAGTAAGCAGGTAAGGAAAGTCAATTTGTGCAAATAAAATACATAAAAACAAGGGCATTAAAGCAGATCTTTACTGGAAATTTTATTCCTACTACTATCTGAATCCCGAGCCACTTTCCCTTGCAACTTGGGAGGGATTAATTTCATTAAGACTCCAGCCCAAATTCTTTTTGTTTCTTATTAAAAGATTGCAGGTCCCCCTAAAGATAAGAAGTCATTTGCGCTCTGAAGAACTTTGTAGAATAAGTTTCAGTAGTAATTAAACCACTTCTTTGTGAACTACCTCTGCTTTTACTGGAAGTTTACTGTATTCCCTCTTTCATCAAGAGACTTTCACGCTAGTGGTTGGAACCTGCCAATCATCCACCAGCCATTTAATTATGGGACTGATGTGCAGAGCTATTCTGCTACATGCACTGTAGCTCTTGCAAGAGAACAGGGAGTGTTGAGCCTTGTGTCATCAGTATTCACATATGTGTGACATCTTTATTTATTCTTTTGTTTTGTACTTGCAGAATTCTTCAAAAGCCTCACAGGCCCCCTCACCTTGGGGCGGCAATGGAAAGTGAGTATTTTCTGCTGATTACTTCTGTCTGGGAACAAGTGGTTCTAAGATGGGGGAGAAATGTTTTGGTGCCACTAAAGGCAAAGGGCAGGCCATAACTCAGTGGTTTGGGAGCTACAGGTACGTTTCAAATATATAGCAGGTAAAAAATGTTCTTCTGGGCTACAGAACTGGTCTTAGGGCTGCCAGGTACCCATGTAAGCCATCGAGTGTGGGTGGAAGGAAGAGCTGAAACACACCTTATCTTTGTGCAAAGTCCTCAAAAGTCTAAAATCAGCCATGGTGGGTATGTGCTGAATTCTTTGACAGTTTGTTTTGTAAGCCAAATGAAGGCCATAAAAATATCTGTTAATTAGCAAGCAAGTACCATGTCATTTCAGGAAGCCAAAGTAAAGTTAACCTTCATTGCAATGATTTTTCAATGATTCGTTCAGTAATGAAAGACCAATGAATATTTCATTGATATATGGTAAGTGCTGTTAAATAAAACTGAAGGCATAATAGTGGTGAAAATGTGAAGGCACTTAGTCAACCAATTATCAGTGGCTTTATCCTAACATTAAAACACCCTTGCTCAGATATGAAGTCAGCTATGATCTGCTGTCCTTCGCATTTCTCCTGGCCATGCACACAGATACAGTAAAACTAAGGAGAAGGATTTTTCCTTTCTTTATTTATTTGAGTTGGCTGAATTCTAGATGAAAATAATTGTTGTTAGTGGTCTATTTCTGGTGGTTCATAAGAAGAAATTACTGCTAGACGCTCCAAGGAAGCTAAGTAATAAAACTGTCGAAGATGTCAAAGTTTAGAACTCAAAGAACTGAAGTTTTCAAACAGACTTTGTTCTGAATCACTCCAAAACCAAGAAAAACTCCAACATTTTGCTCAAAGGAAAATATTGGCATAGATAATTCAAAATGTTTTGGGATATATAGATATACACACACACTCCCAATACACAAGATTATTTTGAGTGTGTGTGTGTATATAGATATTTAAGTGACACAAACCGAAGTGATGAAATAAAAAAATCACTTAAAGAAAAATGTAAAGGTATTTTAACATTGGAAAAGCAACTTCTAAATTAAATTATTTGATATGGTCCAGTTTTTCAAGGCATTTAAATGTCAATGAATCTTTGTATTGCAATAAAAATGCAGTAAGGTTTACATAAAGTTTTAGTACTGAAATAGACCACTGGAGCATTACACGTCATTTGTTCCTTAAAAAGTGATTTATACCTAAAAAGTTGACGGAGCAGAAGTTATCAATTTATTCCTGTCCTATAATAGACCCCCATGAAGTGTGTGCTCTGCAGGTGATGATTTCTCCCTTGCCATTTAAAGGAGCTGATTAGTGCCCAGGATTTGGAATCAGTGGGTTTTGACTGGAGGAGAAAATTCTTGCCACATTTTAGGCAGCAGTAGCCCAGCATTCAGGTCAGCATCACTTCTAACATAACACCCAGCTGGTCGGTCTCTTCCCACTACTTTTGGAGATAAAGAAGCAAAGCTCTGAAAGTGCACATCTCTATCTTGTAGTCAGAGAAGGAAGCACTTGACATGTAAGAATAACTGAATGTGACATGGCCTTGTTGTCACGGTGTTATTCTGACACCTGTGACTCAGCATACAAAGACCACAGTCCACACTCAGGTCTTCTGTCTGGAGTCTCAGAAGAAAAGCTCTCCAGCTGGCTCAGCATTGCTGTGTATCTCAGGTGTCTCTTGGTGGCCCCAAGAATTGTCACGGGCTTGGTGCTGCCACTGGCAACATGTGCCTTCCCCAGGGCTACTCTCTACAGTTTCCCCTTATTCCCCTGCAAATTTGTGCTGGATGGGAAGAGAAGTTGCACACTACAGAGGAGACACCAAACACCATCAGCATATGGCACCACTGGAGATAGATCACAACCTCATTCAGAGTGAGGAGACAGCAGGCTATTCTTAAATATTTTTTCTGACCAGAGCAAAACTTATCCATTGCCATGAAGTGTATTCTGCGTGGGATCTCAAACCATCAAAAATCTCAGCTTGGCTTACTGGAATTTCTGGCCACTTTTGTTTGAAAGGGTTGTGAACCTTGACAAAGTTGGCCTCTGTTCCAGGCTGGCAATGAAGCAAATTTTCCCTGGTTTCATTACAGAAATGTTTCCCACCTCTAGCGACAGAAAGCACAAAATAGAGGGATTTAATAGACTCACCACAGTAATAATGGCTGTGCACAACAGGGTAAATCCAATGAACAATGTGCTTTATTTGGCAGAAGTGCGTCAGCTTCTTGTAAGTGGCTCTAACAAAATACTCCTGATCTCCTCAGATACTTATGATTTTTAACTGCTCCCAGACCTAATCTAGTATAGTTCAGCTCTTCTGTGCATTAAAGACACTGTGGCATATCAAGTAACCAGGATGTTTAAAGACTTTAAAATAAAACATTTGTGCCATAGTACATGTTTAAACCATAACACATAAGCTGTGTAAAAAGCTACTAGCTGCTAAATTAATGTGGTCTCTACCTCTGGAAAAAGAATGTATCACAGGAGCCTGTTGTTGAGCACAGGTAGTATCAGGGCACTGCTGGAAAATCTGCAGCAAAAGCTGTTGCCATAAACACCTTCCAGCCCAAGGCTGTGCTGTGGTGGCAGCCTGTCCTACAGCACCTGCAAGGTGTCAGCACAGCAGGTCTGTGCCCACACTTCGTGTTCAGGACCATTGACGGTGGCTTGTAAAGCCAAGAGGAAGAGCCTTTCTATCCTAGGGTTTGGATCAGGCCAATAATCAGTCTGAGTGAGCTTGATGCTGTTGCACAGCATGAAGCATCAGTGGCTGCCTGTCAAGGGCGGGTTTGCAACATCCCTATCCAGAGAGTTTTGGTGTCTTTGCTTCATGCAGAGAGTGCCGGGAGCGCCTCAGCTCTGCATTTGAAGTGTGTTCCACAGCAAATTGAATGCATTTGTTTAGGTAAGTGGTTCCAAATGGGGGCAAAAGAAGAAATTTTTGGAACCCTTAATTATACTTTGTGAAACAAATTTTCAAAGAGAATAGCTGTATGTGAGTGTTCAGCACTGTACAGCTCTAAACATGAGCCTGCTGTGCTGACCTCTGCACTGCCTGCAGCCAGGAGGTGATTCCTAATTGCTGGTATTAGAATTAAAGGAAAATCTATATTAGAACGTTAGTGCTGCACTAAGTAGGTAACTTAAAACACTGCTCTCACAAAACTGTGCGGATAAACTGGAGGCAATTAGAAACAAATCTCCATAGCCAGTCTTGAAGAATCCTACAGAGATATTCATAATCCTACAGTACCTTCAGCTCCTAATACTACTCTGCAGGGTGCTTTTAAGACTTGCACTTTACTTATTGTGGTGACTGTATTTGTAGCAAACTGTCATTGTGGTTTCTACAAAATGCTTTGATAATAAGCCAATATTGCACATTGAGTGTTTTCTAACTGCCATTGCAGCTTCTGGCAGCAGGTAGAAAAATCATTACAGCTATGAGATACTTCTTTATCTGAAAGATTGCTCTATTTTTATGATAGTTGTTTTGGTTTTTTTAAATAACAGGTTCATTTGTAGGGAGAATTAAATCCCTTTTTATTTTCAGTCATTCACAGTTTATAAGCTCTCCTTTCTCACTAAGCCAGGAGATAATACTGCACATTTTCCCCTGACCAGGGTGCAGGAATTTTTCAAGTGTGTTTGGGATGGCAACAAAGTGGTGTGTGTAAGGGGGACTCACTCTCCCTTTACCTCTTGCAGGAGCACAGAAACACCATCGCCCATGTCCCTGAGCCCATCTCCCATCAGCTCTGCTGGAAGCAGCGTGGGCACCGCCAGCTCCTCCTCAGCGGGGACCATCACCATCCCTCAGCGCATCCACCACATGGCTGCCAGCCACGTCAACATCACCAACAACGTCCTGCGGAGCTACGAGCACTGGGACATGGCTGACAAGCTGACTAAGGAGAACAAAGGTGCCCGCTCGGCTTCTTCCTTGTCCACTTTGACTCATCAGCTTTAGCTTTCTTTCTGTTCTCGTAGGCGTTGTTGGGCATTGGACCCAGAACCGCCGCATCTAAGAGCACAACTGTGACAGCTTGAGTAAGCAGACCAAATCTGCTTGCTGGCCACTGTAGCCAAAGCCTATCTTCTCTTGTCAAGCACAGAGGGGGGAGTGTAACCACGCTGAACATGGGGTTATCAGAGCAGCTGGCAAATAATTTAGTGAACATGAGCCCCAAGCGATGAGAGCTTTTGAGTCCGTGAATTCGTTCACAGTTTCAGTTTCTCATAGAGCACTGAGGTTATTTTCATACTGCTCTGTCAACTGGTTTAAGACTATTAAAATGCTAGCTAGCATAATAAGCAAACAGTAGTTGTTGTGTTTATGCAGGGAATACAATTAGGAGGTGTCCACTGAAAGCCATGACCTTGACTCTTCCATGATTGGATTGCAAACCTGCTTGTTTATTCCTAACAACAGCATGTCAGTCTTTACCGCAGTCGTTTCAAAGGAGTTTTGGCAAGCAGTTTGTGACTGGGTTATATTGTGTATAGTGGAGTGGCTGAGATGTAACTAAAGGACAAATTTGGCCTTTTGTTGGCCAGCTGTGAACTGCCCCACGATAATGTAATTATTCAGATTCCAGCTTTGGGCTTACACAAATCATTGACAAAACTTTCTTTGACACCAGAGGTGCAGAGCCTAACTGGGAAATACGCTCATCGTGAATTGGCTCATTCTCTTAAATTATACTGAGATTTCAGATGGCTGACTCTTCCTGACAAATGTGCTCACTCTAGGCAGTTTGATCTTACTCCCATTAATGTCAGTGGCAAATTTCCACTGATTTAGAGAAGCTAAGCTTGAGATTTATAGAGTTTTATGTCTGAATGGTGGGTCGTAATGATCTATCCCTGGATGAGGAACAATAATAGAAGTTCTGTCCAGTCCTCCCCACTGCTTCTTGTCTTTGTTCACATTGGTTAATTTAGTAG